TCTTTTCCTTGCGCTGTTCGCTTGAGTCGTCGTTTCTGAGACGTCACACTTTGCGTTAATGTTAGATATTTCGCAAAATGTATTCATGGCTAGCTCACTACAATTACCTTGATCCAATTCCCTTAGTAAAACTGGAAGTATCTGTGTCTTAACCTGAAAATAATTAAAAAAATCAAAATATGGTCATATATAGCGATACTTTGTTCATTCGTCGATTTAAACCTTCGTCTAAAGCCTTCAGACAAGTAAATCCTAGATTCATTAAAAAATCTCGAAACGGAATAGTTCCCTCTTTACAAAACAATTGAAAATTTATAATTTACATCTTTTGCTCAGTTAGAAGACTATTTCGTTATTTAATCTTGAACTGAAAAATGAACTGTACTCACTTGTTCTAACCGAGATTTTATTCCGGTTTAAACAACCTAAAATTTCACTAAACAAAATACACATTACCTCGTATATAAGAAGTCCACACTACCCTCTAGTCATCCAACCTTGGAAAGAAAGGCTGGGTGGCCTTTTAATTTTGATCCGAGAAAATGGAAATTAGCTCCTGGAAATGGAACCCGGGCTTGTATGAGAATATGAATTGACCACTTAAGCCATCTAAACGGATGTTTACATGCGTAATCTGAACAAAATATTCCTTCCTTACTGAGTAAATGGAGCTGGTTTTAACTTTTCCGGTTGCGCAAAGTTGTGAAAATTCGTGCGGCTTGAAATAGGACTTTCTTCTTGTGTAAGCACAAGATTCACGTAATCCACAAATACGCATTCTAATTTTCTTGGCATCCCTTGGAAGATCTTCTAATCGCCGTAATTTCACGGCGCCCTTATAACAGCGACTCGTGATTTCGAACTTGATCTTTTTAGCCCATTTTCCAACTCATGTGAAAGGTGCTATTAAGGTCACTTTCTGCGTCCGTACGCCCGTCCGTGCGTCCGTCATATGCTTTAACTACTTCTACAGTTTTCAAGATATTTAGTTCGCTCTTTTTCGGTAGCTTATAGCTCTGGAAAAATCTTGACGATTATTTTCACATGCACAAACTGCGCAAAGTCAACTTTTTTATTCGTAGAGATATTTTTTTGAAATTTTAAACACAGATGTTTCTAGTTTACTGGGCAAGCATATCGCATATTGTGAAATTCAAATGTGCGCAATGTCAACTTTCTTATTTATAGAGCTATTCTTTGAAATTTTAACAAAAGATTCTTCTAGTAGAGGCAAACATATCGCATATTTTAAACATCAGGCGTGCGCATGAACCAAAGCATGAACCGACTACGTAATACTAAGTCTCTTATTTTGACGAATATTTAGGCCTTAAGTTTTTTTCTTTTTAGACATAAATAGTCCATTATATGACCTTTTGGGAATTTTTCGTATCATAAAAATTAATCTCTCGATTTTCGTTTAAATCCACGAATTCAAGTGTCATAAATGAAATTCCAGACCTTATAATATCGCAGATTCGTTGTTTCTCATTCCCCAAAGCGACTATGTAGCGCAGTGGTAGAGCGTTGATCTACATGGCCCGAGGATCGCGTTTTCGAACATGGGCTGGGGCAAGAATTTTTCATCTATGACAGAGACAGGGAATTTTTTTAGATTAGTTTCGAGCATTCTGACGACTACTTCGAATTAGGTTTTCTTGCGGTTTTGCTAATTGGTAGGGTAAATACCCGAGTAGTATACTCGTAGAACAACTTAAGACCTTCTGCAGGGGCACCCCTAAAAAGCATTATGCAGGTTACTCTGTAATTGGGCCCAAGCCTGTAATAAATAAATAAATAAATAAATAAATAAATAAATAAATAAATAAATAAATAAATAAATAAATAAATAAATAAATAAATAAATAAATAATAAATAAATAAATAAATAAATAAATAAATAAATAAATAAATAAATAAATAAATAAATAAATAAATAAATAAATAAATAAATAAATAAATAAATTTCCGATGGACTCGAAATGAGGTCTTTCTGACTGCTCAGTTTTGGGCACGTAAACCTCATCAAGGTAGTCTTATCTACTCTCATTTCCCGGCAGACGGACGCCAATGGATTCCGAAACCCATTAACAAGTCACGCCGCACACAGAAATCAGTGACGCATCAAAATAAAAACCGCCAACTTCACTTGCGAGCTTACGGACCTTTAAAAATGTAGAATTATTACCTTTTTTCAATACCCACCTTTCAATTTGAACACCCTGTATATTCTCCCTCTGCTCAATACCTATAATTGCGAAACCCTAACAAAGTTCAACATCATTAAAAAGCTCCCGTTACAATATCATTTACATTCTGTGGATATTGATGTATTTTATTAACAAGCGACAAAAACCGAGTTTATGATTTTGGAGTTTCTGTCCGTCCGTTCGTCCGTCCGTCTGTGTACCTAAGTAAACGCTTTGACATATAAGGCTCACATTTGGTACAAAGATAGACTTATGGAAGAATAGATTAGAATTTCAGCCTCTAGGGTCCCCCAGTTGTGACAGTGTTATAGAATTACGCGGGTTTATGTGTAAATAAAGACGGAAATACTAATTCATTCATTCCAACAGCTATAATGATTGAATGTATATTGCCATACGTGTACCATATTTGGGATCTTTGTAGTCAGCGTGACTTTGCTGATTGAAAGGAGTATATTGACTCGTTTTTCAATACTTATATAATTTCTAATTTCACGTTTAAATAAATTCGTTACAGTTTATCAATATCAAAGATCACACAAGTGGAAGGTAATGGTAAAAAATGGTCTGAATGAATGCAGCAAGTTAGAAATTACTTTCCTTTTCTAATAACCTGTAATATGTAGGTACAAAGGGCATGATTACAGCAATATGAAAATCTATATTCATCGCAGACTATACCTACTACTGCTCTTCTCAGATGGAAACCCTTTCGCATTAAGAGGCAATCTAATCTCCACGCGCCTGTATGTGCTTTTCAAATTAACAGATATATTATACTGGGTGGCTAATTATCCAAAGCGCTGTTGTCAAGACGATTTGAGATAAATCGTCTTGAAACTTTCAGAACTAATAGCATCTTGTGCATCGAGCATGTAAATTGTTTGTCCTTTTTTCTGTTGTTCTGTTTTTTACTGTTATATGTCTGTTAAATGTTTAAAATGAAAATTGAATAAATAATAAATGTGATACCCTTTTCATAATTCTACGTGAAGTTTTATTGTGTCTTTTTAATCTTTCATTTTAAAAACCGTATGTTGCTGAGCAGACAATAAAAACCCATTTCAAAAAAGTGCCACCGTAATTTTAAACTTTCGAGCAGCTGCTTAAATTCAGAGAGGGTGTTAGAGGATTTGAATTGGAAAATTAAGAATAAAACTCTCGGATTTTTCCGAATAGTTGCATAAGAAATAAATTTATTCCATACTTAACACCACCTATACTTATGCCATTTCCTTCCTAGATGCTTATAAATTCGTTCAGAGTAAATGCATTTTTTTGCAAATATCACCAAAATACTCGAGTAAGCTAAGCACAAAATTCACACATGGGAAATTGGAAGCATTTCGTTTCCTCCATATTTTACCAACAGTTATTTAACTAAAGAGTCAATAACTTAATAATAAGACTTCAACGTTACGGAACATTGCGCGAATGTTACTTACTATAGTAATTATACGTATCACTCTACAATAGAAATCCCTAATTATAATAACTCGTTCTAATTATTAAGAATACTAAAGTGTCTGATAATTTAAGAGATCAAAAACAATGTTATTCGAAGCGTATTTAATTTATACTTATGTTTACTGTACCAACACGCGAAAGTAGATTCGCTGCAAGAATCCAACGTGCTGATAACTCGGCAAGAAATGATAGAAGTAGGATGTGAAAGGAATAAATCGAATCCAATTGAAACTAACCTTGAATTAAATTACTCTAGTAAACGTAATGTCAAGAACAGTAATTACGCAATTAATTTGTTTCAGAGTCTCGGAAAAAGAAGTTGAGGAAGTGGTTTATGCCGCTGTTGCTGTTGTTGAAATTAAAGGGGCTCGTGATCATTCCAGCTGTCCTTTTTGTGATCGCCCTTGTGGCGTTTAAAGGAATGGGGGCTGGTCTCATGGCCCTTTTAATTTCTGGTGCCGTTGCACTGAAACAGCTCCTGGATACCAGGCACAGCAGCTCGTCGGTTAGTTACGAAATTCTACCCCAAATCGCTGGCCCGCATTGGAGTCGCAGTGATGCATTGAATACCCTACTTCAGTCTTACCAATAATTAAAATGTTACGTAATTTGTGTATAAAACTCAGAATAAATATTTATTTACGACGTGTTTAAAACGACAAATTAGGGGCAGGAGAAAGTAATTTACATTTATAGTTCGCTTTGCGTTTGTTTTTTAAGATAACTGAATGATGGTACCGAGGATGGTACGTTTAATGGTTGACTAACCAAAATAAAACATCATAAATTGATCAATCGAGCACTTCTCTTTTTTTTTGTAATTCGACCTGAAAGTCGCATATTTGCGTACATCTCTTCCAAAAACGTAAGTTTGAAATGTGGGGCAATTGATACAAGCATCCATAAAATAGAGCAATAATTTCACCTTACTTTCGCATTTCTTTTTTTTTTTCGTTAACGACTACTCAATGCTCATTATACGGTAGCAAGGTTTGATGCACAATTAGAAAACGTTCACTCGCCTAGATGATTATTTGGTCATCAAACTTCCTTTCCTACATTGCAAATAATGTAACAGTTATTAAAAATAAAGAAAAACATCTCGGTGATAGTAGTCCACTGTAGAACTGCTGTCCTGCATATTCACTGAAATTAACGCCCTAGCAAACAGTCACTTAATGCTTACATTTACTTCTTGCTCCACTAAATACATTAGACGATTCATTTGGAAAAAGGGGAGAACATTTCGTATTTTTACTCCAGTTACTTGACTATATATACAACAGTTTCGTAGTAATCTTCAGTTTATTACCTTATTGGTTGTCGATTTAGAAACAAGAGACGATGCGCGCTCGTATCCAGTATGTGTTGTTATTTACGTTAGTGGTACTTAATTACGTAACGGCCGATAATGCAACACCTACACCTGACCGAAGTGAATTTAAAAAGTCGTTATCGAGAGACTGTTCAAACGCCTATACGACCACCTGCCTGAAATTGGATATTGTTTCGTGGGTTGATAAGCTAAATGAAGATGACGATTACAGTGTCTTTCCGGGTATCAGTGTAGTACGTGAAAATGGAAGTGCACGCGCAAATACAGCCGATATCGTCGCGGAACTGGCGAGGGAGTTTCCAAATGACGCCGAGGCAAGATTAGATGCATACCTTCTTAGAAAAGTATCCAATTATCTGAACAGTCATTCCTTGAGGCTGAAACTGTTTGATAGCGACGCGGTATCTACTGCTCGTGGTAAGGGTGGATCTTTCGGGGGCGGCGGCGGCGGCGGCAAGAAGGGCGGTGGTGGCATGGGAATGCTTCTGGCAGCTGCAGCTATGATGAAGGGTACTTTAGGAGCACTAGCTCTCGGTGGCGTCGCCGCCCTTGCCGGTAAAGCTTTGATGACAGGCCTAATTGCACTTATGCTTGCTGGCATCGTTGGATTAAAGTCCCTGACCAGTGGAGGAGGGAAGACTACGTACGAGATAGTATCAAAACCAATTTACAGTCATTCTAACACGCATTCCGTGTCCCACGAAGAGCATGGTGGTCACGGACATGGTGGATATTCGTCGTATGGACGAAGCTTCGACATGCCTCTACCTTTGGGCCTACAACCCCATTACCAACCTTAAAATAGTTGAAACCAAAAATTATTTATTAATTAGTTTCCGACTTAAGTATTTATTAAATTAAATAAAACGATTTTATCTTGTTTTCTCAGATATTGTGTATTTTTTTCAGGGAAAAAATTGTCCAGGTTCTTCGTGATTTTTGTTAATGCTGGACTACACAAATGTTACCTTACCCAGAAATACATGTGTATCTAATTGAAGTACTTCTGTCATATCGTTTTATAACAAGAGACTACATTTAGTTATAATAAACGACAGATAATTCAATTCACAAATCTTAAAAACTAACTTAGTTTTGCGCAGTTTACCGAATACGTGATATAACAATTTTATGTATAATCAACTTTAACAGTGCATGACCACTGGTCCAAGCCAAAAAAAAACAGTTTTTGAAACGGCACGCGTCCAAATTTTCTGCCACTTAATACTAAATGTAATCTCCTGTCGTACAGAGACTTTAATGTAGATAGTAATGTCCGTAAATTTCCTCCAATTACTTAATTTGGCAATAAAAAAATGCTGTTAATTTTAGGTGCTTTCATAATATATCTCTATTATGGTAAATATTAACTTTACGACTGCAGATCTAACTTATTACTTTACCAACGTTTAGCTAAGCAACACTGCCCACAGTTTCAATACTTAATGAAGTTGTTTAAAAAAATATTGGTAAGTATTAAATTATTACAATTTTAATGCTTTTCGCCAATGTAATATGTAGAAATACACACATTTTTCACATATAAAGGTTTAAACATAAAAATATACGTTTGTTAAATATCTTATAAATGACAAGAAATAAAAATTTGAAAATTGGTACACATGTGTAACTTGATATACCTACTCTTCAAGAATAGGCATACAACAATTAGAGCTATTAGTCGACATTTCAAATTTGGAACACGCTGTATCAAATTTTATCACATCCAAAAAGAGGACAACTTAAAACACTAATCGACGTATCCGAACATATTTCCGAAAAAAAAACCTTCGACTTTTTCATGCATTTCGAGTTAGAGACTCGCACTGTACACAGCCAAAAGTGTGTTTGTCTGGAATATTTTTAAGGCAGATAACTTTTGTTTCCAATCATCCTGGAAGCAGGACGGGCTCCACTGATTAAATATATCTCTCCCAAAATTTAACACAACATTTATTCATATGGCATATTTAACCAAAGAGTATATTAAATACTCTTTGATTTAACTAACAGTTCATTTTAACTTTTTAACCTTTACTGGTATTCATTTATACCCCATGTTTTATCATTGTTTCACTACTGCGCCTTTAATTGAATTAGTACTTAACCCATTATCCCTTGTCGAATCCCCCTTCAACGTGTACTAAATCTGAGCCGACACCAAGAAGTATGACCTGGTCTTCAGGGTCCTAGACGCCCATATCGTAACTGAGGTCTGATGCCCTCCTTGCCCCACCAGTACAAGGGACGAGCTCTTGAATTATCCGACCTTCGTCGAGCCAATGGGCACCTGGTGCCTTAGTCGGATGGTACGTGGCGTGTTACTGCACAACGCCTGATTGCTACCCTCTGCCAGTCGTTGAAGATGTGCTTCAAGAGACCAACGGAATGGTTTTCTCAGTAACTGATTTGAAAAAGCCTTTCAGATCCCCACCACCCCAGAATATATTCCAAAGGGCCGATGCCTCCGACACCGCCATGGCGCTGCTCCTGAGCAGCAAGACCAAAAGGGACACTGGAGACCCCCAAGCTGACTACCATGATCTCCAGTATGTCTAAGAGAACTCTAGCCTGTCCCTACAGCCATGACGATAATAAACGTCAAAATAAATTACGGAATTTGCTATTCATTTTGCTATTGATTCTATTCGACCTTTTGTGCTCCAAGCTAATTCGTTATGAGTGATCAAATTAAAAGATGTGGACTTAGGGAATGCAATCCGGCAGCAAAATCTCAATCCCGGTATTTGCGGGATCGTTAGAAGTTAGTCCCTCGAGATCCCGGTATTTGCGGGATCCCGCAAAATTTTAAATAAATTGGCAAATAAGCAATTTTGTGCGGTTAACTTCTGTATTAAAATAAATCGCTAATTATCACCATATTCAACAAAAAAGTAGGTATCTTCATCCTAACTTAGAACTCAAAAAATCACCTGTAAAGCACAAAAAGGTGAACTTCTAAAGTGTCTCAAAAATCATAGTACATTTTTAACGAAAAAAGTTTAACAATTGTTTTAAAAATAATTTCTCCTTTATGCGTTTCATTAACAAAGCAAACAGAGTCGTCCCCTTGGTTGACAAATTACTCAGTCCCGCAAATCCCGCGGGATCCCGCTCCATTTATGTGCGGGATTAATCCCGCAAAAATGCTGCGGGATCCCGGTATTTCGGGATCCCGGTATTGCATTCCCTAGATGTGGTGATAAGTCGGTTGTCGAAATTGATTAACAAATTAAGAAGAATATTCCGGTTAATACGAAAAGATTTGGCAATATTTCACTGGTCGAAGTTTAACAAATGTCATCAAATCGCATTGAATAATCACAATAAATCATAATAATCAAGAACGTCAAATGTCGCAACCAATACCAGACGACTCAAAAAAACCACAGCAAATACAATCACCATCCAGAATTCTACCATCGTTATGCAGTTGATGGAAATGAATGGACAACAGTTTAAAACCAGCACATACAGAAGCAATTGAGATGGTAAAAGAAAACCTAAATAATAAAGAGGGTGTTAAAATTCAGGGTGCAAAGGAGAAATAATTAATAAAAATATTGAAAGACACCCTTTGAATATCTAATGAAAAAAGAATTGTGGTATTACCACCTACCGGAGGATCTTCGACACGTTAACGAGTGGAGAAGTATGGGGATGACACCAAGACTGCTGAAAACGAACTGAAAACGGCGACATAGCTAAATATTTTGAGGCACTACAGTTTGTTGGCTACCATCTTGACAAGAGTCTCGATTATGTAACAAAACTGGTGCAAGCGCTGAGCTGTCCGAGGTACCAAGAGGTTAAGAGACTGGCGCAAGACGGAGAGCTATAGAGGACAAAGACTCAAGACTCAAAATCCCACTAAAATAAACCTCGACATAGATAATGCCGTAAACTACTTCACTACATCCACTGTAGTTAACCCAGCTAATCTTAAGCAAATGCTTAGAACAAATTTCAGTAGACACTAAATAATCCTTATGAAATGCCGCCAAGCACGTAAAATGGTGACAATTATCGAATCTTTCCCTCTCTTTTGTTGATGGGAGCTGGGCAAAGAACAACGAAGGCAAACCTACAACTTACAACAAGGGCAATCTCTGGTTCACCCGTCTTCTTAAATACCGCTGAGGCACTTGACATAGTGTCCCATGCTGAACTATTGTATAAAATGAAAAGTGCCATACCAAACAGAAAATCCAATATCACAACCATTGGAGTGCTCCGAAATGTGACTGTATTGCCCTTGGACGGAACCAGATTGAAAGGTTCTGGTTCTGGTCCCGCCTATCCTACTAAGGTCCGAAAAGAAGTAATAGCTTTCACCCCTCCAGGCCAGCGCTTTTTTACTAGCCTCGACGCCAGACACGAATACTGGCCCCGACTGGCAACAAACTGACGACTAAAACTTCAAAACAAAACTTCAAACTTCAACAAATGTGGATCTGCTCTCAACTCGCAAGACGCTGATTTCAAAACAAACAAACGTAGTTCCGCTCTGAACTTGGCAAAAAGCGAATCAAAACTTCAAAGAAACGTAGTTCTGCGTTAACTGTGGCAAAAAGCCCTTCCTCTTCTCAGTCCGTTCTATTTAAAGTGGAAACCCTTCTTCTAAATTACAAATTAAACTAGCCAATGATAAGCAGTTGACAACAGAAAATTTCCCCACTAAGGTAAGTTAAACTAGAGGTAGAAATTATTTTTATAATCAATTTTTAACCGACATTAAGAGATAACGCAAAGCTTAGAATTCTAGGAAAAATAGAATTTTCTATCTTTTAAATACAACGAAAAGGCGATAAATAACATCCACCTGTCAATTAAATTAAGCGTTTACAATGATAACAGAATAAAAGCGATATAAAATTCTCAGAAATCTACGTTAAATAAAATAAAAAATGAGATTAAAACGTAAACACTACAAACCTTGACCTCTTTTTCGTAACAATAATTTCTGTTGAAGTACTTAACGAACGATACAAAACAAAAATTTAGATTAAGAAAATTAATTACATGGAAACCGCCCTTGTCCATTCTAGTTAAGACTCCCAAAATTTCGTCCTGCCAGACAAAATAACACAGCAATATTTATAAAAATAATGGAGGGATATATTTAAATGAGAGCAGTAAACCTTAGATACATAGATATGGCCTCTCATTTACATTCAATAAGGAGCATCTGTGCCAACATACCTAACAAAGACAGAGATATATTTTACACTGTAGTAGAACAACGCACATGCGCAGTAGCATACGAATGTAAACAGCTGATAACGTAGAAAGTGATTCAAATTTGTGGCCCACCATTGGGATTTCGGTAACTATGAGACATACAGTTTACGTTAAATGGAGGCAAATTTGCCCCTTTTTGTTACAAAAAAAAACACATTTGAAATTTTTGAAAAATCTGAAAATAATCGAAAATGTCAAACGGACGGTTCCCGTGAGCACCTTCACTATGGGCACTTTTTTAAGAGAACTGGGTCTATTATCAGAATTTCTATAACACGCTGAATGTAGGAGCTACATATTGAATTTTTACGGAATGAGATAGAGGTCAAAAAAGAAAAATAATGATGTGTCACACTATATACATTTACATAGATTTATATAAATATTAATAGGCAAATGAAAGCCCGCCGAATTCTATTACGTTTAAGTCATTAAGTGTAACAAATTTTTTAAAAATATATTTAAACCTCGATTTAAACGTGAAATATTTTACCAAAACATCCGTGTTACACCCAAATAACGTGGAATTAGAAAGGCATCATCCATTTGATATCAAGTTTTTTTTCAAATCCGTAACACTTATTAATGATCGTCGCACCGGACAGTAGTTCTTTAAATTTTGTATTAAATTAACGAAGATCTTGATACCTACTTCTTAGTTGATAAGTTTCACAAGCACAAAAAGTAGGTAGGTATACGAAAAGATGAAATCTACTTTAAAACTTAAAAAAAATCCTACCAACAGAGTTAAACACCAAAGCTAATCGTCGTTGCATTTCAATCCATTTAATTTGTTGCATAATTTTATTGAAATAAATTTGTTTCTAAAATGGTATGTTCTGACCTCTTCCGTGAGCGTTTGCACCTACCATTTTTTTGTACTATTTTCTACTGTTAGGTACCTAGAAAACTACTGCGATCACGTTCGAACTTCAAACAGGGTCTTCATTTAGTAGGATTCTACTCATCTGTAAGAAAAGTATTATCTACCATAGATGCCTGTAACGACACATTTTACCGTACAATCACAGTACGTAAAGATAATATATGTGATATAATACCATTGAATTTATAACTAAATTCAATGATAATACTTTATTCTTTAGTCCATGCTTTATTTAAACAAATGATATGGGGCACAATTTGAATAGAAAAATTCACCTATTGCAATCATTGCTAATAAGTAATTAGTAAATGTTGTCCATTGCAAAAACATGTATTTGTCGATAGACGATCTAAAATATAATCAAGTAGGTGCCACAAT